CTTTAAGCACTTGACTTATTATTCAAACTTCGACCAATAACTCGTAATATCAACACCTTCCCAATTAAATATTATTTTAGGAGCTTAGAATAACATCTTTTTACTTTTATTTGTTATTTGTTCTTTCAAAACAAATCAAAAATTACGATTCCAAGAAGAAGATAGAGCTAGGAGGATAAAATAATAAAATGATGTTGTGATCTATAGATCTCTTATTTTCACAACTAAAATTGGAAACCTCACTCCTCATTTTAAAAGAAAAGAAAAAGGGGGTATTTGTAACAATAATAAATATTACATTTCAAAATATTTTTTATTTGTTAAAAATTTGAAACAATTTGATGTAAATTATAATGTCCATGGAGTTCTTAAAATCGCAGAAAAGAGCTAGAACAGTCAAGCATTAGATTCATGTAAATTCTTTGATCCCCAACGGTCACATGAGTTATGTCAACTATAGTCGTGATCTATAGGGTATGAAAAGAAAAGAAAAAGTTTGGATTTGCGCGGAGGTTATTAAGTCAATTATTTTTATTATTAAACATTTGCTCCTGAACAATGAGAATAGTCACAATTTAGTCCTTCAACAATTTCAATAAAATCCTTGCTACCTTTGAATGGTTTTAATAGTCTTTCCATCAATTTCACGATGTGTTTGCTGTTGCTTGAATGATATGGAGAATGCTCTATGTGTTAGGAAATATATGTTGATTCAAAGAGAATATATTTTATTTGATGCAATTTTTCTATAATTATTTTTAGATTTTATTGTTTTACATTTAGACTCTTTATAATAAATTAGATAGCGTAATTATAACAACTCTCGCAGTATAAAAAATACATACAAATTTCTATTTTAGTTTTTACATTGATATTAGAGCTAGATTCAATATAAAAAATACAAATAAATTTCTATTTTATTTTTTTTACATTGATATGAGAGCTAGTTTCAATTCCCTAGTCTTTCAATATTTTGGTCAAATATTGTGGAGGACTAGAAACCAACGCGCTAAATTTTCATCTCAGCATATTAAAAGCATAAGAAAACACACGGATCTCATAGAGCCACCCAGAAGAGACTAGGAATCCAACTTCGAAATGATATTCTTTAAGATATTTCATTTTGAGAAATTATTCAATGCAATTGGATTCATAAATATATTATTTTTTAAAAATAAAAAATATTGTTTCTGAAAATATGTTATTTTTTCTTTGTATTTTCTATTTTAAAAATATAAAAATTCATTGTAAAATTATATTAGAGACAAGTTTATTTTTATGTGGCTTTTTTTTAACTAAATATATTTTTAGTTTTATTGTTATTGTTTGTATTACCATTATATAATAATTAAATATTATCTAATAAAACGTTGATATACCATCTTTTTAACAAACGACGAGGGAGGCTGCATGGAATATGAAATCTTTATATACAATGAGTCTCTCTTTGATGGTTTTGTGGATTCAAGGAATTGTATAGCCTACCTTTTCTCCATTTCACACGCAAATGAATATGAGCACGTAAAATCTTTAGTCGGATACTTCCTCTCCAATTTCCCAATGATATTTATTATTATTTTTTGACTTACTAATCTTCCCGTTGACTAAGAGATAAAATGGAAGGGCACAAGTGGTCTCGTACAGACGATGGTATACTTTAAGTGTGGGCGTGTATTATATATATATATATAAAAGACAACCTAAGAAAGACCCCACATCATCCTTAAAGGTCAACTATATATATTTATGTATATATATATATATAGGACAACGTAAGAATGACCCCACATCATACTGAAAGGTCAACTATAATGATGCATAAAGCTCTCTCGAGGCAGCCTACTAACTCTTAAGGTGGATTGCAGACTAAGGAAGATGGCTACTGCACTCTCTGATATTTTGAGAGTCACATCTAGCTTACTTATGCTTATGCTACTAATGTTTTGCATGGGAGCAATTAACTTGGAGGCCCAAGTTGGGAGCCTTGCTCCTGATGAAGGTACATATACATATTTTTATTTGGTTCAGATGGGCAGATTCTTTCATGTTTAGAGGAAGACATACACATGAATGCCATCTTCTAGCAGGAGATTTTTTATCTGCAAAATCCTCACTGCATCATACTCTTCGATAATGCAGTCATCAAATTTGATTGTATTGCCGGATTCTGTAACCATGTTAGTAATGGCATCATGCATTGATTTTTTTACAGAATTCTGTGTTTTTTGCAAACATTTCTTGGCAAGGCATTGTAGAAGCCACCAGCTAATCATCCCAGAATTAGAAGTTGAGATTTAATTTTGATTTATGCAGTGGAAGCTCTACTTGAAGTAGCAACACAACTGGGCAAAAAAGGCTGGAATCGCAATATGAAACTGTGCAATGATACAAATTTACCTCTCAAGCCAGATGCTGACAATAAAGTTGTTTGCAACTGCTCATTTCCTGGGGGTGTGTGCCGCGTTATTGCAATGTATATCTCTTCACTTACCACTCCATGCATTTATTTTCAATTTTATTTTGAGGTCTGAAGGATTCTGATGGGGCCAGTTCAGGGAATGGAGGAATAGTTGTGGTGTATAAAGTCTCTTCAGAAACCCCAATTCGATAGTTGAATTTTATATTAAGAAATTCGGATAAATTCATTAGCAGTAATATTATCTAAAAACAAGTATGATAAGGATCTCAAGGAAAACTTAATCATGCTGAAAATGTCGTGAATAAGAAAGAAAGGATCTCCGGCAAAGAAAATTGAGCATTTGTCAGAAGTTTAGGCTTAAGAGTTTGAAGAAAAGAGTTTGATAAAAAAATAATATAAATTATATTTTGGAAGAAAAGAGTTTGATAAAACATAATATAAATTATATTTTAAGATCTCATGTTTTTAATTTTTAAGTTAAAATAGTTATTTAATATAGTTGTACTGATTTATTAACCAAGTAAGTAATGATGAGTTTAAATCTTATTATTTTTTTATTCTATTTGATTAAAATTAAATATAAAGTTATGTAAATCTTGAATTTCAAGATGTCCACTTTAGATGTGTATTTAGAAAATGATACAAATCTTTCAAACTAAGTCAAAAATTTGGTTTTCTATTCCATTGGCTGTTGTAGTTATGCCTTATATTTTCTTGACATATGATTGTTGATTTGCAATGGTTGAAAGTTTTGAATTCTTACCTTGTATTGAGGAGTTGATGGGTCCATGTGTTCTTGCAATGCAGATATCTCAAAAGGCAAGATCTTGATGGCAGTCTCCCAAAAGCTATCGAGAAACTACCACAACTCAAACATCTGTAAGCAGTGCTTCAAATTACTACATTTCTACAGATTGAGTACCGTGAATTTGCATCGTATGATTCGATTTTATTAGAACTCTATCTGCGCTGCAGAGATCTCTGGGCCAACTACCTGAGTGGCAATATACCATCTGAATGGGCTAATACCAAGCTGGAAACATTGTAAGAAAATTCTGCATTCATGTTTTATTAAAAATTTGAAACAATTTGATGTAAATTATATTGTCCACGGAGTTCTTAAAATCGCAGAAAAGAGCTAGAACAGTCAAGCATTAGATTCATGTAAATTCTTTGATCCCCAACGGTCACATGAGTTATGTCAACTATAGTCGTGATCTATAGGGTATGAAAAGAAAAGAAAAAGTTTGGATTTGCGCGGAGGTTATTAAGTCAATTATTTTTATTATTAAACATTTGCTCCTGAACAATGAGAATAGTCACAATTTAGTCCTTCAACAATTTCAATAAAATCCTTGCTACCTTTGAATGGTTTTAATAGTCTTTCCATCAATTTCACGATGTGTTTGCTGTTGCTTGAATGATATGGAGAATGCTCTATGTGTTAGGAAATATATGTTGATTCAAAGAGAATATATTTTATTTGATGCAATTTTTCTATAATTATTTTTAGATTTTATTGTTTTACATTTAGACTCTTTATAATAAATTAGATAGCGTAATTATAACAACTCTCGCAGTATAAAAAATACATACAAATTTCTATTTTAGTTTTTACATTGATATTAGAGCTAGATTCAATATAAAAAATACAAATAAATTTCTATTTTATTTTTTTTACATTGATATGAGAGCTAGTTTCAATTCCCTAGTCTTTCAATATTTTGGTCAAATATTGTGGAGGACTAGAAACCAACGCGCTAAATTTTCATCTCAGCATATTAAAAGCATAAGAAAACACACGGATCTCATAGAGCCACCCAGAAGAGACTAGGAATCCAACTTCGAAATGATATTCTTTAAGATATTTCATTTTGAGAAATTATTCAATGCAATTGGATTCATAAATATATTATTTTTTAAAAATAAAAAATATTGTTTCTGAAAATATGTTATTTTTTCTTTGTATTTTCTATTTTAAAAATATAAAAATTCATTGTAAAATTATATTAGAGACAAGTTTATTTTTATGTGGCTTTTTTTTAACTAAATATATTTTTAGTTTTATTGTTATTGTTTGTATTACCATTATATAATAATTAAATATTATCTAATAAAACGTTGATATACCATCTTTTTAACAAACGACGAGGGAGGCTGCATGGTATATGAAATCTTTATATACAATGAGTCTCTCTTTGATGGTTTTGTGGATTCAAGGAATTGTATAGCCTACCTTTTCTCCATTTCACACGCAAATGAATATGAGCACGTAAAATCTTTAGTCGGATACTTCCTCTCCAATTTCCCAATGATATTTATTATTATTTTTTGACTTACTAATCTTCCCGTTGACTAAGAGATAAAATGGAAGGGCACAAGTGGTCTCGTACAGACGATGGTATACTTTAAGTGTGGGCGTGTATATATATATATATATATATATATATAAAAGACAACGTAAGAAAGACCCACATCATCCTTAAAGGTCAACTATATATATATATATATAGGACAACGTAAGAATGACCCCACATCCTGAAAGGTCAACTATAATGATGCATAAAGCTCTCTCGAGGCAGCCTACTAACTCTTAAGGTGGATTGCAGACTAAGGAAGATGGCTACTGCACTCTCTGATATTTTGAGAGTCACATCTAGCTTACTTATGCTTATGCTACTAATGTTTTGCATGGGAGCAATTAACTTGGAGGCCCAAGTTGGGAGCCTTGCTCCTGATGAAGGTACATATATATATTTTTAATTTGGTTCAGATGGGCAGATTCTTTCATGTTTAGAGGAAGACATACACATGAATGCCATCTTCTAGCAGGAGATTTTTTATCTGCAAAATCCTCACTGCATCATACTCTTCGATAATGCAGTCATCAAATTTGATTGTATTGCCGGATTCTGTAACCATGTTAGTAATGGCATCATGCATTGATTTTTTTACAGAATTCTGTGTTTTTTGCAAACATTTCTTGGCAAGGCATTGTAGAAGCCACCAGCTAATCATCCCAGAATTAGAAGTTGAGATTTAATTTTGATTTATGCAGTGGAAGCTCTACTTGAAGTAGCAACACAACTGGGCAAAAAAGGCTGGAATCGCAATATGAAACTGTGCAATGATACAATTTTACCTCCAAAGCCAGATGCTGACAATAAAGTTGTTTGCAACTGCTCATTTCCTGGGGGTGTGTGCCGCGTTATTGCAATGTATATCTCTTCACTTACCACTCCATGCATTTATTTTCAATTTTATTTTGAGGTCTGAAGGATTCTGATGGGGCCAGTTCAGGGAATGGAGGAATAGTTGTGGTGTATAAAGTCTCTTCAGAAACCCCAATTCGATAGTTGAATTTTATATTAAGAAATTCGGATAAATTCATTAGCAGTAATATTATCTAAAAACAAGTATGATAAGGATCTCAAGGAAAACTTAATCATGCTGAAAATGTCGTGAATAAGAAAGAAAGGATCTCCGGCAAAGAAAATTGAGCATTTGTCAGAAGTTTAGGCTTAAGAGTTTGAAGAAAAGAGTTTGATAAAAAAATAATATAAATTATATTTTAAGATCTCATGTTTTTAATTTTTAAGTTAAAATAGTTATTTAATATAGTTGTACTGATTTATTAACCAAGTAAGTAATAATGAGTTTAAATCTTATTATTTTTTTATTCTATTTGATTAAATTAAATATAAAGTTATGTAAATCTTGAATTTCAAGATGTCCACTTTAGATGTGTATTTAGAAAATGATACAAATCTTTCAAACTAAGTCAAAAATTTGGTTTTCTATTCCATTGGCTGTTGTAGTTATGCCTTATATTTTCTTGACATATGATTGTTGATTTGCAATGGTTGAAAGTTTTGAATTCTTACCTTGTATTGAGGAATTGATGGGTCCATGTGTTCTTGCAATGCAGATATCTCAAAAGGCAAGATCTTGATGGCAGTCTCCCAAAAGCTATCGAGAAACTACCACAACTCAAACATCTGTAAGCAGTGCTTCAAATTACTACATTTCTACAGATTGAGTACCGTGAATTTGCATCGTATGATTCGATTTTATTAGAACTCTATCTGCGCTGCAGAGATCTCTGGGCCAACTACCTGAGTGGCAATATACCATCTGAATGGGCTAATACCAAGCTGGAAACATTGTAAGAAAATGCTGCATGCATGTTTTCTAGCCAAGGAATTGCTTACTCATAATTAATAGATTGTACAAACAACAGGTCTATCGGCGTGAATCACTTGACAGGAAAAATCCCTAGCTATCTGGGAAATATTACCACACTTAGATCATTGTATGCATTTTTCTACTAGTCAATTTCTTGTCTTTTAATTTTATATTTAAATTTGTTCAATTGTTTAGTCAGGAGTAATCCTGAGAGTTGGCATTTATGCAGGAACGTTCAGAACAATATGTTTTCTGGAACTGTTCCCCCTGAGCTTGGAGGCTTGGTTAACCTGGAGAATCTGTCAGTTCATTCAAGCTTTTGTATTAGAAATTAAGTCCTAACTGATTATTGAATGCTAAGTGTTTTTCTGCTTTTGTGATTGCAGAACTCTCAGTGCCAATAATCTCACTGGAGAGTTACCCCAGGCTCTCACTAATCTTACCGGATTGAAGGAACTGTAGGTTCTCATTTCACATAGTTATTGTGTATCATACTCATTAGTTGCAGTATTTGATATTACAGATGCATTTCTTTAGTCTCCAAGTTTCATGATTCTGTGTTTTCCGTTCGGCGAATGCAGAAGGCTTAGCAGCAATAACTTCACTGGAAGAATACCTGATTTTATTCAGAGCTGGAAACAACTTGATACATTGTATGTTCTAGTTTCTACCACAAGCTCCGAATCTCATCACTGAAGCAGAACCCTAATCCCCCTTTAATTTTGTATTAACAGAGAGATCCAAGCTGGTGGTTTCACTGGACCCATTCCTTCAAGCATCTCTCTCTTGACTAATCTAACTGATCTGTAAGATAGTTGTTTTAAGTTTATGGTATCAGGTACAACTTTAATCCTGAACATCTCACATTTTTATGTTGCCTACTATTGAGCAGAAAAATAAGTAACTTACTTGGAGATGGTTCAGAGTTTCCCAACCTAGAAGCTATAGCAGGCATTAAGTATCTGTGAGTTATTCTTGCAGCTGATACTCTCATACCAGGATCAATTTAATTTACAACACAGTATATATTTAGCTTACATGAAATTAATGTATGTTGAGCAACTGCAACAGTATATATTTAGCTTACATGAAATTAATGTATATTGCAGGATGTTGAGCAACTGCAACTTGTCAGGACATTTTCCCATATATTTGACAAGAATGGCAAAGCTGAAAATTTTGTAATTTACTCTATCCCTTGTATATCATCCATTCTGTCATTCATCTACATGAAGATTGAAGCGTGAATCTCATGGAAACTTAGAGCTGCTGATTTTAGATTGAGGAGTGCAAGTTACTTTCATATTTATATGCTTATATATTGTTGATATTTCATCTTGCAAGTTCATGTTATAAACAATGGAAGTTAGCCATCCTACATGAAAGATCAAGGAATGAAAATCATTGTCATATGGGTTCATAAACGAAAAAGAAAGGTTGCATTATGAAGACACGTTGTATAATTTATAAAAATTATTTTAAAATTTAAGAACAGTTAAATATGTATTAAAAATATAAAATTTATTACATGTATATGAGTTAGTAGATTATTTGTTCCTTTATTTTTAAACAATAAGATTTTTTTTTAACAAATTTACTAAGAAACACTAATTTTTTTTAATTCTAGTATGTTTGATTTAGATAGATACAATATAAAATAAAATTTATTTTTATAAAATAAAATAAAATTAGGAATAGTTTTTTTTACAGGTTTTATGTCTCAAAGAGATCAAGATTTGATATTACTTATATGACAATACAATAATAGCTGAGATGATCAGGTTGAAATTTATTTGTTTATTTATGAACAACATGGCAACATTTGACTAAATGTTTTCCTTGTTTTCCTGGAATTCAATTACATGATTTTGCAGTTGATTTATGTACAATGTTTATATGGGCTATTTTTTTATTAGCATGTATTTTTAAAATATATTGGAAAAATTACATAATTTTAAAAATATTTGATGAAATAACATATTTTCTAACTTATTATTATTAGAAACGAGACATATATAAAAAATATATCAAATAAGCTGCATGTGAGGAGAGAGAGAAAAAATAAAAAGGCTTATGAGACATATTGAATCTTCGATTAATATTATATATACTATTAATATTATATATACTATTATCTCAACAAGACAAATTCAATAATACTAATATAGGTTATCAACAATAACCCAAATGTGCCACACTTATCACTTAAAAGTGGTGGGTGATTCACTTGTTTTTAACAGCAAGTGTGACACATAAGGGTTATTGTTGGTATCTTTTAATGAAGTCGATAATATTAGTGATGTTGTAATTAAATTTTTAATGTGCATCTAAAAATAAGAACCAGGGATTATTATTTATAAATAACTTTCAAAATGCATTATGAACCAGGGATCTCAGTTTTGGTCTTTAATTTATTTTTTTTACCTTCTTTTCGAAAACAGGGATCTCAGTTTCAACAGATTAAATGGTTCACTTCCAACAAATTATGATGGCCTGAAAAGCTTGGAGAAAATGTAAGTGTACTATATTATATTACCTTCTGAAATTAATGTTTGCCATATGAAAGCATAATTATTAAACCTAAACCAGTCAGACAACTAGTCCAAGAAAATCCAGGACTCGGAGCATGACAGGGCCAAGATTCTAGTTGAACCATACAAGACTGTCAAACCTATTCAACCTGGCCAAACCCTGTCCAAGCCTGATCGGGTCAATATCTTGTGAAAAGAATGGAACAAAATTAATTTTTTTAAATAAAAATGTTGACCAGAGCTGATCCGATAGCTCAATCCTTTTTTCAAGTTATTCTCATGGTAGAGTACAGCCATTATGATGATAAACTTGTCCTCTAGACAGTCTTTTACAATGATAGCCTTAGACAAATGTTCAACCGAATGACAATTTTTACTTTCTGCATAGGTATCTTACAAGGAACATGCTTACAGGGCCCATCCCAGATTGGATCGACAAAAGAGATACTCGCTAGTATGTTAGTTTTTTCTTAATTTCTGTATATAAATTATGATTTTTGAGAGTTTTGTTTGTAATATATTTTCCTTTTACTCAATTAGAATTATTTGATAATTTATTCATTAACTCCCCTGAAAGACAGAAATGATCAACTTCAGTTTGCCTTTATCTGAACATTGTCAACCCAAAAGCTTAATCATGAACTTCAGGTTTCCCTGATCCTATAAGAGATGCGTATCTGTAGGTTTAATAATATGTCCTAGTCTTTGAAGAGCTATACTGATGAGAAGCTGGAAATCAGATTATCCTTCCCAGTTTCCAGATAGTTTTCAGTACAGCTGTGCATGAATGATCAAACTATCTCCAAGGTTTCATTTAGTTATTGTCCTTGAATAGAAAGGACAAATACAGTAGGGACAAAAATGTGTTTGGTTACAGTGACGAAGATGAAGATATAAAAATAAATTTGTATAGTTTTGGATTGAGTTTTTATCTGTTAAAATCAGAAAAGACGTGAGGTGAGGACATGTCCTTTCTCTCCCAACTGTCTTCATCTCTTCTGTCTATTCATCTCTTCTGCATTGAGATAGCAACCCAAAGGTAACATGTGCATGCAATTTTGTTAAAAATTCAGAAATACTGGCTGAATGTCTAAGGAAGCTATCTTTGTGTGCAGCGAAATCGATCTTTCTTACAACAATTTTACTTCGGAAGCAAAATGTAGAGAAACACTGTAAGATTGATTTCATTTTCCTTGCCTTGCCTTTGATTTTGAAAGTCTGCTTCTTTTTACATCACCCTTCACTTCATAACCTACAAAACTTAACTCTTCATGTCTTGCCAGAAATCTGTTCAAAAGTACTTGGGGAGGGAACTATTCGTAAGCTTCTACTTTGATAAATATCTAAAACATAGATCATTTTATTTTCTTCTCCTCTGTCATTTCTTTTACATTTTATTTTCTTCTTCTCTGTCATTTCTTTTAAATAAACTGATGATTCTATCTGGCCAATATTTCCAGGAAACCTGTTGAGTGCCTGAGTGCTTGTTCTGAAGGTACTCTTAAATTTGTAAAGCTATCCGCTTTTACATTTCAGCTGGAAGTAGACAGAAAAATGATGCAGGAACAACCTGTCAGCCCAGACTATATATTTATTTCTATATTCGTTGGATCATAGCATCTCAGTCATAAACTCAATGGTCCTTTTGCGTGTGGCTACCCCATCATGCATCCGACCACTAGGATTTCCATCCCAAGAGGAAGATGATGCTCTGCATCAACCTCCTCTGGAAAGAAATCGAATTCAACTGGTGTAGGAATAAACAACCAGTTGATCCCAAAAGCCTAGACAAATGTTAACGGACAAACTTATTCCTATATTCACTAGATAATAAATATAAAGGTCCTATTATGTGGGCATTTACATCGTGGGTCCCACCATGATTTCCACCACACTAGGAGGAAAAGGATGCTCCTGCATCACAAAATCTTAATTGTTTCTGTTCTGTTTGCTCCAATTTAGAATACGGTCTGATCCTAACATTTCTTGTGTTATAATTTGTTTAATCATATCAGTGACCATGACCATTTTTATTTCCATGAATAGAGCGATATTCAGTGCACATAAATTGTGGGGGACCAGAAGCCACCATTGGAAACACCATCTACGAAGCAGATAATGAGCCAGGAGGTGCAGCAAAATATGCGTCCAAAAGAGAGGACTGGCAAACAAGTAACACAGGACATATCTGGGATGTTCCTGCTTCATTGGATAACTACATAGCACAAAACAAGTCCATGCTCAGAATGGACAACTCTGCATTGTACACAAATGCACGCCTCACTCCTTTGTCTCTCACATACCACGTTCCCTGTCTGGTAAATGGGAATTACAAAATCAAGCTGCACTTTGCAGAGATAGTAATCAGGGATAACAGATCCTACTACAGTCTAGGAAGACGGATATTTGATGTTTATATTCAGGTATCCATTAATTAAAAGATCATAGATTCATTCCTTATGCAATAGGTGACAACTTAATTGAAGAATTATTCTCGCAGGACATTGTTGTGCTGAAGGATTTTGATATAGTGAAGGCAGTGGGAGGGGTGGATAAGGTATACATTCATAATTATACAGCACCTGTAACCAATGGAGCTTTAGAGATCCGCCTTCATTGGGCTGGGAAAGGAACAACAATGTCTCCCAAAAAAGGAATATATGGTCCTCTAATATCAGCCATTGATGTGGAATCTGGTAGGTTGACATATAATGGAATGACATAGTAATGAAGGAATAATTAGTACTGTGATCTGACAATACTTGCTCTTGCTGCAATTCTATTTCTGCCTAGACTTCAAGCCACCTGATAAAGGCAGGAGGAAGAGATTCATTGTCGCTGGAGCTGTGGTTTTGTCATCATTCCTCATTCTCATACTTCTTTCCACTCTTTGGTGGAAAGGTTATTTGGGTGGAAGGAAATCGAGGGATCGAGGTACAGTTGATACATTTGTTTGATTTTGCGAATTCTAGTCAGGAATCCAGTCACTAAAATAACACCGCAATAAGCAATTTTCTGCATCTTATTTGCTGTATGTCTATCCATGAATGCATACATTTGTCAAAGAATAATCTCAATCCAAAGATTAAACTGCTTGGCGAACCTAAAGGAATCGTTTTATATTACTCTCTAACAATGTTTTTTTCAATGGGAATTATCAATCTCAATGCTGTTTACTTGGAGGACAGCTAAAACCATCTGTGTTCATCCTTTGATGAATCATTCATGAAGAACGTCTAATTTATACATATCTCTTTGTTCCTTGGGCAGACCTTGTTGGGTTAGATCTGCTAACTGGTATCTTCACCTTCAGACAAATCAAAGCTGCAACGAATGACTTTGATCCAGCAAACAAACTTGGAGAAGGTGGTTTTGGCTGCGTCTACAAAGTATAGTACAGATTTTTGTTTTCTTCTAGCTATTTATTCACTATATTATTTCTTTTCTCTTATCAAATCAGCAACTTATTTTCTTTGTCTAAAATTATTCTCGTTGCAGGGAGTACTATCAGATGGCACTCAGATTGCGGTTAAGCAGCTTTCAGCGAAATCAAAACAGGGCAATCGGGAGTTTGTGAACGAAATAGGCATGATTTCTGCTTTGCAACACCCAAATCTTGTTAGATTGTATGGATGTTGCATTGAGGGGAAGCAATTGTTGCTGGTATATGAGTACATGGAAAACAATAGCCTTGCGCATGTTTTGTTCGGTAGGCCTCTGATCACTTCCCCATAGTATCTTATATAAAGTAATGGGAAAGAAAACAAGTTCTTCTAATGGCATATAAATAGAATTAGTGAAGAAGAAATTGATGGGTTGGGTAATGCATGATGATTACAGGGACAAAGGAAATAAAGGCAACGAAGCTAGACTGGCGTACAAGGCAGAGGATATGTGTAAGTATAGCGAAAGGTCTGGTTTTCCTGCATGAGGAGTCGACACTCAAAATTGTTCATAGAGACATAAAAGGTACCAATATCCTTCTTGACAAGGACATGAACGCCAAGATATCTGATTTTGGAATGGCCAAGCTTGATGACGAGGACAACACCCACATTGACACCAGAGTTGCTGGAACAATGTGAGTTTCTGATATTAACACATGAAAAATCCTGAAACGATGACATTAACAAACTGTAAGGAAAACACACAAGTATTGTCATTTATCTAAGATAGCTTTAAGTCTTAAACAGTATGATGCTGTAACTGGGCTCAAGTGCCGATGGAAGGGGTTAGCTTCAAAATATGTGGTAGGCAGGCATCTAGGGTTCAAATCACACACCACAGGGTTCTCATGGATCAGGGTTTCCCATCTATGGTTGTGTTCCTCTAAGACTAACCCTTGGAGAGGTTCTAGTGAATATGCATTATATGGTTACTAGATAGGGTAAGTTATGCCCTATCTAGTAACCATATAATGCTAAATGAATATACTATTCATATTATCATCCAGGGTTCGAAATCCTATCAAAAACAAAAACAAACAATAGACATTTAGCATTTTTTACATGTTTTAGAGAAGCAAACTAGAAAAATGTCCCTGATTTATTCTTCTGTGCAGGGGATACATGGCACCGGAATATGCATTATATGGTTACTTAACTTACAAGGCAGATGTATACAGCTTTGGTGTTGTAGCATTGGAAATTGTTTCTGGGATGAACAACGTCAAATTTAGGAGGGATGAAAATTTTGTATGCCTTCTAGATAGGGTAAGTTATGCCCATTTAGTCTCTTAATTGTCTGTTCATGTTTACTCTTGGTCAGGTATATATCTAATTGTTTTTTGTTATTTCAGGTTCTATATTTACAAAAAAATGGGGACATAATGGAGATGGTTGATCCAAGATTGGGGTCTGAATTCAACAAGAAAGAAGTGGTTAGAATGATCAATGTAGCCCTGCTATGCACAAATCAGTCTCCAGCACTTAGACCTACAATGTCTACGGTAGTGAGCATGCTTGAAGGAAAAACTGATGTCGAGGAACTAGTCATGGTTCCAAGCACATTGGGTGATCCATCAGGGTTTTCTACGTCCTTACATAATAAGTTTGCTCAACCTTCTGTCAATGGAAGTTTAACTGAAACTCAGTCCCTCGTGAAGTCATCGGAGGGACCATGGACTGCTTCTTCCTCTTCATCAGCCCAGGATCTTTATCCAATTAGTAAAAGCTGATGCCACGAACCACAAATTTTTTATCATGAAAAATCATGAATAAGAAACAGATTAAAACTAAAAAGTCACCAAAGTACTTTTTATAGTTAGTGTTTCCTGGTATGAATAGTTAGTTACTCATTAATCAATACTTATTATTGCTAGTATATATATCCTGTAGTTAATGGAGTGATTATATGTAATATTGACTTTATTTATGTAAAAATATATTTTTTTATTTATAATAATAATTATTTAAGTTTGATTAATGAAACTAGAGTAAATATAAAATTTTTAAAACATAAATACTTTATAAATAAAATTATAAAGAAGTTACAATTATAAATATTCATATTATATTAAAATATTATTTCTAAAATTTCATAACTAAAGTTAGGAAGAATGATATATATTATGTTATTTTTTTATAAAATGAATAATAATTATAATAAAAAACCCATTACTAAAAAGCTAAGTTAAACAGGAGTTGGATTCCTTAACAATTTTTCACATAGGAAGTCAATCCAATTTGGTGATAAGTCCCCATATCAAATCCTTCATAGCAAGCCTTAACAATTACAAAGATTTCTTGAAAGTCTTAATTATATTTTATACTTCTACCTTAATCTCAGCCATACTTGCAAGCCTTTACAAAGATTCTGATATTGAATGTATCAAAGAAAATTCAAATTCCCCGCTAGAATGCCTTAGAAGAGAATTTGTTGCAGGGAAGACGACCCAATGCCATCTAAATAGGAAGACAAAGACAAAGGAAAAGGCATCATGCCTTTACATTCTAAAAGAGTAGAAACAAAAGTCCAGATCATGGGCTCAAATGGTTTCAGATGAAGATAAAATCTCCCAACTTGAAATAAACAAATTAAAGGTTCTGCCTTTGGAAACCCAAAAGTTGCTCCAGCAATTAGTGTGTGCATTCTCTGAAGTAAACGAAGAATCCTCTTTGTAAGAAAAACAAATTTTGATCAAGACAAGTAACCTTGAGCTTTACAAATCAACAGATACGAATCTTTCAAAATCCAAATATGTGGTAGTTTCTGTTAAATAATCTTTTTTTAGTCTTATTTATTAAGGGTAGAAAAATATTTTCAGTTTAACTTATATATAATTTTTTTGTATTTAAGTTAACCCTAAGCACTCATAATAAACAAAATATTGAGAATTTTATCCTTCTTTTTGTGTTTTGTCTTAATTATTTTAATATGGTATTAGAGCTGGTTTTATAGAACGAGACTTAATCTCAAACATAACTTTTACGGATCCAACTTCTGTAAAAGAAAATTTGAAGTGATATTTTGTCTTCCACTTCTGCAAAATTTTGTATTTCATCTTTCCTTCAGCTTCTGCAATTTGATATTTGTGTTTAATTTTTGTAATTATTTTAGTATTTCGTCTTCCCTTTAGTTTCTGCAATTTGGTATCTGCGTTCAATTTCTGCAAATTTATTTTGTGTTTTGGAGTAATCATATAACTTCAAGAAGATATTTGTTTAGTTTCTACAATCTCTATTCAGTTTTTGCAATTTGGTATTTTTTTTTCCGCTGCTTTTGCATTCTGGTTCTCTATGATTGTTGATTATGGTTGCTGAAAAAGATGATTCGCTTCGGCCTGTGAGTGTAAGGTTGGATGAGAAGAACTATTCGTATTGGAGCTATGTAATGAGAAATTTTTTAAAGGGTAAAAAGATGTGGGGATATGTTAATGGAACCTATATAGTGCCTAAAAATACTGAGGAAGGGGATGTTGCTTTGATAGATGTATGAGAAGCAAACAATGCAAAAATCATTACTTGGATCAACAATTTTATTGAGCATTCCATAAGTACACAGTTGACGAAGTATGAGATAACAAAAGAGGTTTGAGATTATCTACAAAGGTTATTCACACAATCAAATTTTGTAATGCATTATCAGTTATAGAATGAAAAACGAGCTCTTCATCAAAAGAATATGAGTATTCAAGAGTTATATTATTCCATGACAGATCTTTGGGATCAATTGTCTTTCACAGAATCGACAGAACTAAATGCATATGGTGCTTATATTAAAAGTAGAGAGTAGCAATGATTGATACAATATTTAACAACACTTCGCAGTGATTTCAAAAGACTTAAAGGTTCATTATTGCATCGCTTTCCACTTTCTTCTATTGACTTAGTTGTTAGTGAGTTATTGGCTGAAGAAATGCGTCTTCAATAGTATTCTGAAAAGGGTATTATTTCTGCTTTCAATCCTTTTGCACTAGTAGTACCCTCTAAATAGTTCTCCAATCACCACCATAAGCCTTATACAAGGGTTGGCTTCAACGAGTACAATTTCTGTAAGCAGAAAGGTAATTGGAAGACTTAATGTCTTAAGTTGAGACAACAAAATCAAGCTTGGAAACCTAACAGTCACTCATAATCTAATGCTCATAAACCACCTTAGGGTTATAAACCACCACACCATAATACCATATCAGTAGCTTCCTCAGGCTCTATTATTGATCATCGTACTTTAGTTGAGCACTTTCAGAAGTTTCTCTCCTTGCAGCCACAAGCAATGTCAACTTCTTCTTCCATAAGTTAGTTGCCTTATAGTTCCTCAGGTATGTTATATTCTGAATGGGTTTTGGATTTTGGTGTTTCACATCATATGTCTCCAGACTCTTCATCTTTTACCTCTGTTTCCCTTTCACCCTCCATTTATGTTATGACTGCTGATAACACTCCCATGCCTTTAGTAGGTGTTGGTTCTATTGTCACACCTCACTTGTCTCTTCCTAATATTTATCTTATTTTGAATTTCAAATTGAATCTTACTTTTGTTGGTTAATTATATGATTATGGTGATTATATAGTCATTTTTTCCTTTTTTTTTTGTTGTGTACAAGATCTGCAATCTCAAAAGGTGATTGGGACAGGCCATAGGGAGAATGGATTATACATTTTGGATGAGTTAAAAGTGTCAGTTCCCACTACTGCTACTACTACTGTTGATTTGTCTTCTTTTCATTTAAGTTGTTGTAACCCAATTTTAACCTATTTATTTTTAATTTAATTTTAAGGGTAAATCTTGAAATTTAAAAGATCAGGGGCTTGAATGCAAAAATTCAAAACTTTAGGAATCGAATTGGAGAAACAGGCCACCCACAAATTCGGCGTCGTTTTGTCCCTCTTATGCTTTGTCTTTTTCCTCTGAAAACAGAGGAAGCTACTTGTGATGAATAAACGTTGATGATCAAGCCACCTAGCACATTGAAGTGCCCATGACTTCCATCACCAACTTCTCGGTCAATTTTTGTGTCCTTCACCCCCACGACATGCCAACAACGTCAAGGAAACCATCACTAACAACCCATCTATGGTAGCACTATTGGCGTCCCCATTCATTCAAAACACAAACTCCTTAAACTTCATCCTTATCAGGGGAAGATAAGGAGCAAGAAGAATGCCTATAAAGGCCAAGAGAATTCACACAACCAAGGGAGGACGAACAAGGCAAAAGAGTGGAAGGTATAAAATACAGAAAGCAAAACCCAGCTTTGTCTTTGACTCTGGATTCAAGGAGAATAGGGAAAAAAAAAAGAACAAGAAAACAGAGGGGAGTGGTTTGAAAATAAAAGGGAGGAGAAGGTCGTTCTTTTGCCGGTGCTAAAATCATCACCCTGTTTGCTTCCCCATCACTATCTTCACCTAGGTAAGCTCTCTTCCTCAAGCTCTATAAATTTGTTTAAAACATTGCAGGGTAAATTAATTACCTTCGCACTATGCAGGAGCACGTGTGAACCAGTTCACACGTGCCTGTTGTTTGGCCTAGTTATTGGCTTGAGCCAATAATTGGGCCAGACCGTTTGGGTCTAGCCTAGTCCATGTTGGTTGGGCTAGACCCAACGCCTTAAAAAAAAAGATGAAAAAAAAAAACGAGAGTGGACTGGATTTGGGCTTTAAGCCTAGTTGGCTCAAATTATGTTTATTAAGGGTATGTTTGGCAAAACATACCCTTATGCCTTAACTATAATTTTTATGCTTATTTTAGTTTGATATTTGGCCAAACAAGCCCTTTTTCGATATTATAAAATTCTAAAAATATTTGGGGATCTTTGTTGAATTATTTGTGGGCCCTTCACACTTTGATTTATTTTTTTCTTCTTTGTATTTTGTATTTTTTAAGTTATGTGCTCAATTTGTGGCCTATTATTGTTAAATACAAATTTCTCTTGCATTTTTTAAATTATTTACATCTAAAAAGGATAAATAATAATAAAGGATAAACAAGAAAATTTCTTCTATAAATACATTTTTTGCAAAAATATTCATTGATGCTAGAGTCAGGAGTATCATATTTTTTGGATTTGTGCAATATTTAATAACGCCAATGTTGAAAATATTAGAAGGATTTGTTCACTGATGCTAGAGTCAGGAACATGTAAGGAAGGATAAAAATAGGAAAATGGAGAACAAATTCTTAAGTAATTTTAGACAAAACTAGTAATGCAGTCTACCTTAGGTAGGATATTTAGGGGGTGATAACATCTTTCCTTTTGCGTAACCAGTCCCATACCATATAATCTTTGTTGACCAGTTAGGGTTCTTAGTGACCATAATACTAGGTGACTACTCCTTGAACAATACCTTTTCTCCTAAAAGAACAAGATGCCAAATATATGTTCTTTTTTCCAATCAAGTGATTTTTAATCGGTTGTCATGATGCCCGGGTGTGATAGAATGGTGACTCCACTGAGGACCTTAGAACTAAGCTTTGCTATTTTCTTTTTTATTATTAAATAATATTTGTCGTATTGTTTTCCTGCTTGTTATGGCTATGCTGTGTTTATCAAGTTTTATTTTTTTTATTCTTTTTACTATTTTAGCATGCACAGTTATTCATGTTTATGATGCATATTTATTGGATATGGATCTAAGGCCTTCACATATCACTTATCTTATTTTTAATACGTATGGTATCAACTTTAAGATAAATGGAGTAACGGCACCCCAATGACTTTAGCTTGGGTAAGGCTCACGAAACTATCCAACTCTTGCATGATTGTTTGCTCGATGATGGTTGATATGCTGAACTAATATTACTCTGGGCCTCTACCTTGATGCTACTTGTAAACCTCATATGAACCTTTCGAGGACGATCTCTTAGAATGCAAAAGATCATTGAGACTAGATAACAAAAACTACCCCAATGCATTCAATGACTAGAATCTTTGCGATAAGCTTAAACATGCTTTTAGATAATGT